GAAAAAAAACATAACATCCAATTTACATTTAGCAATGCAAATCTCCCTGGCAGGAACAGATGCTGCCGTGCATATGGAAAATGGCTATTTGTATCCATTGGCTCTCAACAAAAGACGGGGAGATCCGTGGGCAGCCTGAGCCGGTGGGCGCTGGGCCCCCCTTGCCCGACCTGGGGCTGGCCATGCTCCAGCACCAGCAGAGCCCAGGGTGCCCCCAGGATGTCCCTGTGCTGAGCTGGCAGGGCCTGCGGAGCAGCCGGGATGCAGAAACCACCTTGGAGAAGAGGTGGCATCACCCAGCCTTGCTGGAACCTCCCTGCAGCCGCGGGCTGGGGTCCCTGGCACTCGTCCCTGCTGTTGAGCACCGTGGCTGCTGGCACACATGCACGGGCGTGCAGGCACCCCGGCGTGCGGACACACGTGCCCAGAGATGCCCACACGCGTGTGCGGAGCCACCACCCGGGCACCATGGACACCTCCCGCCCGGCACAGCTCCAACACGGCTGCTCCATCCTGCCTTGGCTCCTGTATAAAAGGACAAAGGGGATAAACTTCTCTGGAGCATGTGGAAATAAATAAACAAGGGCAGAATTGCAGCCAGCAGCGCCGTGTTGAGGCCTTTGTTGATATAATTAGAGTTTTGAAGTGGGATTGATTAAGTGCCACTCCCCAAGACAGAGTGCAGCCTGCCCTCGCTGGAGCCGCGCTCCGGCCGCGCCGCTCCCCTCCGCCAGGAGCTGCGGCGGGGGACAGGACCGGGCTGGATTGCAGGGGGTGCCCAGAGCGCGGGGCAGCCTGTGGAGGGCACCGCGCTCAGCACGGGGCTGCCTGGCAGTGTGCCGGGGTGCCCAGCAGCTTCCTGAAGCCAGGATGCTGAGGGGGATCCCGCCCGGAGCTCCCGCTCACCCAACTCCCTGCAGGCAAATCCCAGCCTCCCCTGGAGATGCAGCGGGATTCCCTGCCCACAAAGCCCAGCTGCCTCCATGCTCATTAAGGATTATAATTAAGAGGCAGTTTAATTCTGTGCTCTGCTTCCCTCTTCCGCGCTGCCCTGCCCGGGTGCCCGGTCATGTCCCGCAGGAGCAGCCGCTCCCTGGCTCAGCGCTGTGGTGCTGGGGGGGTCCCTCCGTGACCCTGGCCCCTCGGGGAGGCACCTGACAAGCAGGAGCAAGCGGGGGCAGCCGGCGCCTCCCCTGCTTGCACAGGGGCCCTTTCTGCCTCCGCACTTCTGGGGAGAGCGAGGGGGCCCCGAAGCCTTCCCAAGTGCCCCCTGCACGCGCATGGCCACACACCTGTGGCACGGTGACACGCGCACAGGCACCCACGCACACGTATGTGCACCCTGCGGCTGTGCAGGGACACCCGGCCCCATGCACACACCCGCGTGCACACGGTGCACGCGCACGGGGGTGCAAGGGCCCTGCAGCAGCGCGGCGGGAGCCGCCC